TCTCATTCCGGCGTAATAATCAAGGAACTTTGCTGCCGTATCATGGGTGCAGCAGGCGCAATGATATTACACAGCGCCTGAAAAGGGTAGGCTAACTTCCATCAACATAACCACCGTGACCACCTGATTGCACAGGGAGCGTGCTGGGGACTATTTTCAGGTGCTGTGTAATATCATTGTGCCTGCTGCACCCATGGTACGGCTGCAAAGTTCCTTGATTATTACGCCGGAATGAGAGTATAGTTCCTAGCCATATCGGCCTGGAAAATCACAACTTTTCATATTCTGTCGGTCTTAGTACACGATGTAACTACAGAAGAGTCAAGTTTTAAATAGCAAAAATATAGAAACTCTTTGGTCATTTTTGAGCGAGATGCTAACGGACTAATCAGATTCAATGATCTATGCTAAGCTACAGCTAAAAGTGCTACCGCCAGACCCGGAGATCGGCTGAATGGATTCGAAAACGGTAAAACTCAACCGTTTAACTCTAGGGGAGTTGGAAAGTGAGCCTATTTTCAAAAATAGTGGAGTGTTGTTCCTTTAAATTGATTTTTTTTTTAAGTGTTAGTAAATTACATATTGTTACAAACAGTGTTGGAGTAACGCATTACAAGTAGCAGGAGTTACATAATCAGATTACTTTTTTCCAAGTAACGCATTACTTTTTAATTTACAAGAAAATATCTGAGTTACTTTTTCAAATAAGGCCAGTTGCTTTGTTTTCTCATTTATTGACTGACAGCTCTCCTGTCCTCATGTTGAGAGAAATCAGGAGTAAGTGCAGAGGCTGTGTGAACATGTTACTGTAGTTCTAGACTAAATGTGAACATGCATTTACTCATCTCACTTCCACAAAAACAAGATTCAGCATTCCTTAAAATTAATAAAATAAAAAAAACAGTGAAATTAAAAATCAGAATATGACGCAAACCTGCAATAATTAAATGTTAACAAAAAATTATGTATTTATTCCCATTTTATTAACCAGTGTCTTTGCCGATGACAATCGATGATCCAATTCAACCATACTAATGAGCAAAAATGACTTTTTTTTTTATTTTTTAATATTCAAAATACAAGCAAGCCCAGGGCAGATGTGGAAAAGTAATGCAAAATTAATGTAATGCATTACTTTACATAAAATTAACCAAGTAACGCAATTAATTACTTTTTTTTTTTTTAGGTATAACACAATACTGTAATGCATTACTTTTAAAAGTAACTTTCCCCAACACTGGTTACAAAAGCATTTGTTCAAAGCTTCTACCATTGGCTTTCCTAAATTAAAATGTATTAAGAAAAATTATAAGTGTATAAATACAGGACTCTTATTGATACATACTTGTTTTATACAATATCTAACCAGTTGCATAAACATAGCCACTATGTTAAAACTGTATCTTAAGAACTAGTTTGAACAACTAGTAGTTAACCAAGTGGTAATCAGTCTTACTTTTTGGATTCAAATTAGACCAAATCTACCTTCTTGTTACTGACTTTAAAAATGTTATGATAAACTGCTTAGACTCTTAAAAGTGAGTCATCTAATAAAAAAAAATAAAAAAATGTAGATGACCAACATTTTATGCAACTGAACACAGGGTCTCCGTTCTGTCCGGTTCTTGACCTGAAAAAAATGCTTTTGATCCCAGATGGATTTGTTGAAAATGTACTCACAATAGAGATCCAGCTGTAAAATATGTCCAAGTAACAATGTGGGTCCAAGAAAAGAATACCATTTACTTAAAGTGGAAAAAAATGTGTTGCATTTAAATAATTGCAAGGTCAAAACATTTGAAATAAACAATATAGTATATCATTATTTATTGATCATTTGCATATGGAAAAAGTTTATTTGCATTATAGTAATGATAATTTGGGGAAAATTCTAATAAATCTAAAATAAAATTTTAAATATACATATATAAAAATGTGTAACACTTTACAACAACATTCCATTTGTTAACATGAACTAACAGCATGCATCAAACTTAACCTCAACATTTACTTATACATTATTAAAATCAAAAGTTGTATGTGTTACCATTGTGAACACACTGTGAACTAACATGAGCATTTTTATTTATTAACATTAACAAAGGTTAATGACTGCCTGTAAAAAATATATAGCTCATTATTAGTTCATGTTTTAGTTAACACATGAGATATTATTATAGTGTAACCATTTACATTGACATATGATCAAATATTTCTTTGTAAAATTGACCTCACAAATTAAAAGAGGTCTAGAGTGGTGCCTAAACATCATGAAAACGACATGACGAAAACTAGATGATCATAAAAAGCTTAATCTGTCTCAATCTTCATTAGAACTTTTATAAAAGAAAGACGGTTACACTTTACTTGAAGGGGTGTGCATAAGACTGACATGACACCTTCATAATCATGACATGACATGTCATGAATATGACGGTTTTTTATGCATGTTTATGACAACTGTCATTAAGTGTCATTCGCTCAGTTATGTAATTTTTAATGCAAAGATGACATTGTTTGAGATGTCTTTGTTATGGGCTATGGTTAGGGGTAAGGGTAGGGTTAGGTCAAATAATGTCATATTTGCATTAAAAATGACATAACTGAGCGAATGACACAATTACAGTTGTCATAAACATGCATAAAACCTCCTTCATATTCATGACATGTGTCATGTCATGATTATGAAGGTGTCATGTCAGTCTTATGCACACCCCTTCAAGTAAAGTGTTACCAGAAAGACTAACTACCACTTCACTAGTAGTTTGGTCTATAGACTACTTGGCCTGCAAAAAAAGTACAGTACGTCTAAATACGACTGCAAATTATAAGCATATGACAAATTTAATTATACAATAAACATCCACAATCAAGATCGAAGACAAAATAATACTCACCTTCCACAGATGAAAATGAAAAACAGACAATCTGACTTTTCTCCCAGTTTGCACAACTGCTTTATTCTGCCTCTAGAGAGGGCCTGAGCCCTGAAATACACCTGGCTTAATAACAAGGTAGGTTACAAGATTGGAAATCCAAATTACACATTCTGTTAAAGACCAAAAATAACAGCATCATTCATGAAACATTGGATGAGACAAGCGGGGAGAAAAAGCATCTTGGCTTCATTATTTTTTGCACGCCTTTGACACGACCTGACCACAAGAATGGAACTCTAAAGAGCAAGTCATTAGTGAAAGTGCAAAAGAAAAATTTAAAACGGGAACAGGTACACCCTAGAGAAAAAAAGCACAACTACAAACACATGGTGGCCACTACATCCTAAACCAAACTACCTACACAAACCCAATTCAGTGCGAGTCGAAATACTGAGCGGGAGCGAGGACAAAAACCAGAAAGACAGATCGAACCTGCGTTTAGCATGAAGCAGCGCTGGTTTTTGACCAAAGTCGATTAGAAATCCATTATCACTCAGCCTAACTGATCTATGACTCACAAGAAAACGAAATAAAGGGCGATTCATCATTGTGGTGTGAAGCAAACGGAAAAAAAATAAAACGGTTCAAGTTTATCATCAATGAAATATGATGCATTTGCTTCAGCTCATGAAAGCCCCTTAAATATTACAAAATAAGTTAACTCTCCAAACATCTTCAGAGTTAGTATACTGAACTCAGACAGTAACAGAAACCACGACGAGCTTTAGTCACTGTTCCACACACAACCTAATAAAGCAACACACTTGCTTGAAAATAAATACACTTGATTATTAAGTAAAAAAAAAAAAAAGACAATAACAAAACAATTCTGGTGTATGAAAACTTAATCACATCAAAAATGCTCACCACATATTTGGCAGAGACTGCTCAGCAGTGGAGGCGCAAACATCACTGTTATGTTTCTCATCAATCCTGAGGATCCCGTTGAATGTTTTTGTCACAGTGAAAGAGGTTCCATGCAGTCCCTGCATTTCTTTATTTTACTTTTAAATGTACCTATACAACAGTACAGTACGTCACCATTGCTTCAGAAGTCTTGCATCAGAGACGGTAACACAGCAGCTAGATTTTGTACAAATGAGAAAGTTTCTAACTTCGGAAACTATCGACTTCCCGTTCTGTGCATAGCATAAAGTTGACCTGCAAAAGAGATGTTAAACATTAACAATACAGACACGATTAGAGAAAAGCAAAACACAGCGCCCCTCTTTGTTTATTTGGTCAGTGCCATCCACTCGTGTATTTAGGCTTTTAATAAAAAGTAAATGGAGGCACTTGCTGGGCTTGTGGTTTGATTATTAGTATTGAGGCCATCATCTATATATATATATATATATACACATACATATATACATACACACACACACACACACATAAAATTGTTTTGAGATATATATTTTCATATTATATATAGAGAGAGGGAAAATATTTTTTAATTATAGTGTATTTGTGAATTTTTTTAAATGTTGCCTATATGCCAATTCCCCAGTACAGTATTATACTTTGAAAACTAATGCAAATGTTAAATAAGACCAGTAAGTAAAAGCAAATACTGTATGAAAATTCTTTATGCTTAATTTTAAGGTAAAAGCTATTTCTTTTAGA